TTCCTGCCTTCAGAGCACCCATAGGACAGCAGAGAAATGAATATCTAAATGCAACTGGTGACCAGCGCATGAAGGAAGAGTTCAGGACAACAGACAGGCAATGGGAAGCACCTCCTTTAGAACAGTGGCCAGGGAGGGCTGTCCAGTAACAGAGCATTTCAATAGAGACGTGAAGTATGAGAAGGGACTGAAGAGTGTTAGGAAAGGTTTTTCAGGGAAAGGGCAGCATATGCAAAGGTCCTGAGGCTGCAGGTAACATGGTCCACTTGGTAAAGAACCAAAAGGTCCGTGGGTTGGAACATAACAAGTAGTCAAGAGTTGAAGTTGGGAGGATGGAAAAGCATAAGAGGAAACAGAAGAGGCAGGCAAAAGCCAGGTCAGGCAGCATCTCATAGTCACGGAGCGGAGGGAGGCCCCGTTCCCCCTCCACCTCTTCCAGACTTCTTCAGGGAGACTCCGTCCTTGATTTTGGTCAGTGAGTTCCTCCAGGTTTTTCTTGGCTTTGCTTTTTCCATCACTATTTTTATTGGTCTGTTTCTGTTACTATCATGAAATTCCTGAGGCTGGTACTCAGTAAATAGAAGTCTATTGCACTCACAGTTTGGGGAACTGAAAGTCAGAGATTGGGTGGCCCCATTGGCTTGGCCTCTGGTGAGGCTCTTGGGACAGTGGCATCACAGTGGCAGGCTCTCCTGGGAGAGGAAGCCACAGGGTGAGGCAGGACTCGAGGGGAGGGGAGGGGAGGGGAGGGAGCTTGCTTATTTCTCACAATCCACTCTTGAGGACTAGCCCCCGGAGTCCTCCCTTCTGAGGGAGCACCTCAGTGACCTGGTGACCTCCCTCTAGGCCCCGCCTCTTAAAGGTCCTGCACCTCAACAGCAGCGCACTGGGAACAGGGCCCCACAGGAGAACCATGGGGGACACGGTCACACTGCCCCTTAGCTGGGGTCAGACACTGCTCACGGTCCCAGCTCCAGAGCCCAGACTTGGGTGGGCAGCTGGGCCAGGCGCTCCAGGCCTCCTGGTCCAGCTCAGGGCTCCAGGGCGAGGGTGGCCCACCACCCTCCGGGCTTAGGCTGTTCTGCCTCTGATCTGCCCAGGGAGCCCTGCGGGGACACAGGGCCCCCCACCCACTTCAATTTCTTTGGAGACTTTTGAATACACCCTTATCAGGGTGGAGATCTCTGTTTTCAAAAATTGACGTCCCCCCCCAACAGGATGCCAGCCTCCCCCGGGGGCAGCTGGACTCGGCAGCGCTGGGGGCCGTGATGGGCTGGGCCTCGGGGAGGCTGGCCTGGCCTCCAACAAATAAAGCTCTTGCCGGGGAAGGAAGACAGAAAACAGCCACCAAGATGCTCTGTCCTCTGTGACCTGTCTGTGTTTGGGGAGCGGCTGGCAAGTGGCAAAGGG